TGATTCAGAACCAATTCCAGCTACTCAAGCACCACAGGATAACTTGCAGAGCAAGACAAATACAGAGAGACAGAGAGGGGGAGGGAGAGAAAGAGACTTTTAAAATAGAAGCTTACCAAAGACCACAATAACATAGTATTCATCATCATCATTGTTATTATTATTGTTGTTGTATTTGTAACACAAATCGGCTATTATTGCCTGTCATCAACATACCTTTTCCTACTTTGAATGGGATTTATGGTGCTGTCTTCTGTTGGCTACTATTCCTTTGATGTCCGGTTCCATCTCCGTTGTTGCTATACGAAGGACAGCATGTAGATGGGCATCCGTCAGCCTGGATCTCAGCTTGGATTTGTTGATGGCCATGGTGGAGAAGGTTTTCTCACAAATGTATGTGCTTCCGAACAGAGAGGCCATTCTGATGGCATGTTGGCGAAGTGCAGGGTACGTAGCTGGGGAAAGTCCTTTGTAGAACTCGATGAGATTCTTGTCTCGATATGCTGCTCTGGCCTCAGAGCTCTCCTGCAGGTCGATGAGCTCGAACTGCATTTCTGCAGGCTCTTCTTCGGGTGCACATGTGAAGGGATCTTGGAATAGGTTGAATGACTTCTCGTGGTCACTGAAGTCCGAGAAGCGGTGGTGGAATTCCTCTTGGAGTTTTTCCATGAGGTTGTGGTTCTTGTCTGAACACAGGTGATGTAAAACGTCACATTCACCTGCGAGCACCTTGCAGGCGGGGAAATGGGTTAGATCCCCCTCTCTGAGCTGTCCCTGCAGTAGTTGAAGTTTTCGCTGGAAAGCTTTGACGCTGTCAAACAATGTGGAAATGAGCTTCCCATGGCCCTGCAGCTTCACATTGAGATCGCTGAGAAAGGTGTTCAGGTCAACAAGGAACGCTAGGTCACAAAGCCATTCAGTGTCACTTAACTGTGGCAGATCTTGTCCTTTTGATTGCATGAACTCAGCGATTTCTTTCCTCAAATAAAAAAAAAACCGCTTCAGTGTGGCACCTCTGCATCATTGGCCAGATCTTCGATTCGTCGTGTCACTGTGTCATTCGATAAACTTATGTAACGGAACTTTGACTTTTGTTCAGGGCATACAATGTCAGCCACTTTCAAAATGCAGTCTCGCACGAATTCTCCATCACTGAACGGCTTGCTCCGCCTGGCAATTTCGTGAGCTACCACATAGCTAGCCTGTGTTACAGCTTCACCGGATTTTGCAAGATTTGTGAAAACTGACTGCTGGGCAGTTAAACCTCTTTGAAGTGGTTCAAGTTTAGTTCTGCGCTCCTTGCCCATGAACTTGTCATACATTTTATGATTGGTATCATAATGGCGTTTGATGTTATACTCCTTGAGCATTGCATTCACCTGCTTGCAGGTGAGGCATATCACTTTATCCGACCCCTGAGGTAAAACAAAGTAAGCGTTGCTCCATTTATCCTGGAACTTCCTTTTCTCCTCACTGACACAACGTTTTTTTACGCGACGGCCCTGGCTCCTCCATCTCGCTTACACAACGAAAACTTCCAACAACTTTTGTTGCGAAGGACTGATGGTTTGGGCCACGGGCTGTTCACGTGAACACTTTTCCGCCTTTGGGACATGCTTCCAGTGCATGCACCCCTCATAGCTCCTCTCGTGCATCCAATCAGGGAGTGAGTTTGGGGATGCTCGCGCTGGGGGTAGTCAGTGGAAATAACAGTGTGCCTGAGTGTGGACGTTGGGAGAGACAGCTTGTTGTTTTATTGTATAACCGGACTTTTGTGTGCGTTCATATACTTAACCACACACGCAAACACACACACGCAAACACGCACACGCAAACACGCACACGCAAATAACCACAATCACACACACGCCTTTTTACATACCTATATATACAAACAAACACACATACATTTTGTGTACATATCTTGGCATTCACCTCCTATTTACAATAAACATCATTTGGAGTATACATCTTCTCTGGCATTTTAATCAGATGCACCACAGCGGCTTCTCATATAATTTCTTACCAGTCAACTAGTGACTCATCCAAAGCAACTTTTGACTTTTGATCTAGCAAAAATGACAGTGTAGCATTTCCCTCCGAATAATGGTCGTAGGCTTTACTTTACTGATGAATCAGAATGTATTTGTAACTCCAGACCCAACGTAAGAGCTTGTGGCCTCTTCGGGGGGTGCTAAACATTTAAAACATACAGTCCGTTGTTCTCTTTCTCTGCCGTTACATAGAAGACACTACTTTATCCTTCAAGTTGTCTCCAATGCCACCACAACTTCCTGTCAAACACGTTATCTCGCCTTCAAAATAAAAGCATGCAAACGAAACAGGAAGTGAACCTAAATTACTAGATACAAACCATGGAGGATTAAAATATAACGCATGCATTTCAGCGTGTCACATTAACTATCGCGGGCCGCCAGAAACATTTCCCAGGGCCGCCATTGGCCCGCGGGCCGCACTTTGAGAACCCCTGATCTAGACCCATCCAAAAGATGTTTCTGTCACATGGGACTACACTGTTCCTGAGAAGAAGATATCTTAGAAGTTAATATAAGTTTTCCATTTTCATACTACATACTATGCAGAATGTCCGATAGAGAAGAATGTGGATATCATTCCTTGTATTTGGTCTTCTGAGATGCTCCCAAAGCCTTAAGGTTAAAATAAATGTGTTTCTCCTATTACCTTTTGGCTTTTATCGTAGAAAAAAGGTCACTTACATTAGAATCCAGAATATGTTCACTCTGTAAGTGTGATGGAAAACTGTTATTCATCATGCTACTTGACTTTATTAATCAGTCATTTTCTGTCACCCCGACAGTCCCACGATGGTAATCTTGACGTTCTGACAAGGAAACATGTTTTAATTTAAAGAATTTGTGAAGGCTGTATGTTTGCTAAAGCATTAAAACAGACTAAGCTGATTCAAAGGGTTTTTAAAAAATTTAAAAAAAGTAATTCAGCAGTTAATCTGTTCAAGTCTTTTGTAAATGGTCATGCTTTCAGTTTCCAGTCTGTTCAGATGTTAGATTTCACACAGCCTCTAAGCAGCATCACTCAATGCTTCACCTCCATTCAGTGAAACCATCAACTCCCAGACGTCACAATTTGTTACGCTGCTTTTGGACCCAATTTATTGATGAAGACATTAAAGGCTCCGGGTGTGAGAGAAAGGTAGAGACGGATTAATGGTTCCAGGAATGGTAAAATAGAAAATACAGTATTGAAGAGTGGATCAAGAATTGGCCGCAGATTAACAGCATGAGGACCCAGAAGGAAATAGACTGGTTTTATAAAGCGTTGAAAAGAAATGAGAAAACAGTCAACTATCAGCCACTGACCTCGAAGCAAGATGAACATTTTTTATATATCTGGCATTGTGTCTAGATTAGGCGTTTTCAAAGTGTGGTAAGGTGAGCCTCCCCTCAGAGAACATAAGAACAGCCGCGCCCCCCCCCTCCCAATTATTATTGCTATTATTATTGTTGTTGTTGTTGCCATAATGCAGGGGTATTCAATTGCATTTGAAAGAGTTCCAGTAAGAGAAAATGTCATTAAATGCTCTGTTTTCGCTGTCTACCTTTCTATTTTTTGCGCACGCCATTTTAAATGACTCACTGCTGTTTCTCTCTTCTTGTCTCGGCTATGTGTGTGTGTTTGAATCTATCGTGCTCACTCACTGACTGCACCGATTTGATTGGCTGAGTAGCGTCACCTCCTTAAAACATTGAACAATAACTTTTTTAAACCTTTTTTTAAAAAAACAACTTTTTTTAACTTTTTCAACATCGTGGATACATCCTTATATGCTCCCGGCAACACACTGCACGTCAACTTTGCCTCCTTATTACACTCACCCCTACTTTAGTGGGAACAATGAGTCTGCGTTTTTGATGCTCACAGGCGGATGATGCGGGGATGCAATGTAGACCGGAATAAACGCAGATCATCCTCTGGCTGCAGCCTTGACCGGTACTTTGATCAAAGTCAATGCGGAAAACCCGCACTCACACAGGTAGGTGGAGTGAAGGGAATGAGCACTTTTACAGCCTTTTTGGCGAGGTGAGGGAACTCGGTCTCCACAGACAGCCAAAAGTGTGCAAGTGACGTTTTCTGCCAGACGCTGTCTCCTCTCTCACTTTAGGTAACTTCACTAAAAATCGATCCATGTTGCCGCTCTCATAAAGTTAGCTGAAGTTAACTAGCTAGATTTGACTCTTTCTCGTTATTTTTTTCTCACGCTGCGCCTCTCCTGAAGCTCTCTGGCGCCCCCCCCCCCCCCGCCTCACACTTTGAAAACCGCTGGTCTAGATGGTGTCCAGTTTTGTGTGAATTTCCCCTTACAAAAATATGGAAATACAGCCCTATCCCATAATTAACCAATGACACGGAATTGTGTGTTTAGTTCGCATACAAAGAAGCGTAATATCGAAAAGAGGGAGACAAAAGTCTGATTGTTATTTAATGCATGGAATAAATAGTCATGGAGCACGCTGTTGAAGTTTGTTAGAGTTTGTGCGTGCGTGCGTGCATATCCGTTTCTGTGTGACTTGAAGGTAATTTGGGAACCTTGGATTTGGCCAGTGGCTCCAACCCCCCCCTCCATCAGAGTCCTGGGAGGCCGCTTGTTTATTTACAGTTCATTTTGGAGACTTAATTGCAATTGTGGCGGCTATTGATCTCAGAACAGGCTCGGGCCATCGATCTCCCGCCGTCCCCCAACGGGTCAGGGACAATTCATCCAGCCAAAACACCACAAACCTCGATAACGGGCGATGTGGCTGCATGAATTAAATGATATTGAATCTTAACTGGATTAATCAAAAGATACAGAGCCTGTGTGTTGCATTACAATGAGCTGTTTTTTCTTCGTTTTCCCCTAGCCTTGTTAGGAGAATGTGTCTCACGCAGCTAGACAGGATTTTCGTGAAGATGGGATTTAAACTCTATCAACTAATCACACTCACATTGTCGGTTTCTAGGGGGCAAACTGCTTCCATCTGGCGTGTGCTGATGCAGATGGACATCAGGACTGAACATTGACGAGTGGAAGTGACGGATTCCATCTCCTCACCCTCTTGCCCCCGACACCTTCTGTCACGCTGGCAATGTCAAGAGTCCCGAGTCCCCCTCCCCCTGCGGAAATGTCCAGCGGGCCCGTGGCCGAGAGCTGGTGTTACACACAGGTACAGCTAAAAACACTATATCTATCTTTAACGTGAAATACATCAAATATTCGTAGCTTTACTGACTGTTTTCTGCTTTGCCAGATCAAAGTGGTGAAGTTCTCTTACATGTGGACCATCAACAACTTCAGCTTCTGTCGTGAGGAGATGGGAGAGGTCATCAAGAGCTCCACCTTCTCTTCTGGGGCCAACGACAAGCTGAAATGGTGGGCGGGCAAGAAAGCCATGTTGTTCATCATATTCTAAAATCTAGTATTCGTTATCATACTGCAGTGTACAGGAATTGAAACCGCCAATTTTGAGTCTGCCATCAGATAAGGGATCATCAATTTTGATCCCTTATCAAGCAAACCTTACACAAAATAGAATTTCACATACTCGTATATAAGCAATGGTTTTCTGATGAAAAGTGCTCTATTCAGTGTTATCATTAAACTGGTCATTTACTTCAAACTAATCAACATATTTGACGATATACTTGCACAGCAGTATTTATACAAACATTCAGGGACTATAGGGTCATTTTTCAAGTCTATTCTTCAAGTATTGGTCTTCCTTCTCATCAAATAAATATGTTTTTCAAAAGTGTGAATCACAGCAACCACAAGAGGCTCTTGAGTAAACAGTCCTAAATATGCACAACAAATATTAAGCTGATGAGTCAGAAGAATGCAAGCACTAGGGAGTGCTCTGTTAGCCTGCTGTATTCATAACGATCAGAAAAAGCATGAAGACACAGTGCATAGACAGACAACTTTACATTAAAACTGCATGTATCAAAATTCTTTAGTAAGGAGAGATTCATTTATTTGAAGAGATCCTAAATATTACACCCTCTCACCATCAGGTGTTTGCGAGTGAATCCGAAGGGCCTGGACGAGGAGAGCAAAGACTACCTGTCTCTCTACCTGCTGCTGGTCAGCTGTCCAAAGGCCGAGGTGCGCGCCAAGTTCAAATTCTCCATCCTCAACGCCAAGGGAGAGGAGACCAAAGCCATGGGTGAGCCACTGGGGGGCAACAACTTTGAAAGAGTCGGATCTAACATCCTGTGGAGTTGGCAGTTTTCCTGTGCTTTTTAAAATCACACTTTTTCTTTCCTTTTCTGGACTTCTTTTTGTCCTGATGGCCTGCAGAAAGCCAGAGGGCATATCGCTTTGTCCAAGGGAAAGACTGGGGCTTCAAAAAGTTCATCCGCAGAGACTTCCTCCTAGATGAGGCCAACGGTCTTCTACCTGACGACAAGCTCACGCTCTTCTGCGAGGTACGCTGCCTAGTCTTGGTTTACACCCTTTATCACTCCAGTGCATTTTTAAGTATTGCATTTAATTGAATATCTCTCCTTCAGGTGAGCGTGGTGCAGGACTCGGTGAACATATCTGGGCAGAACACGATGAACATGGTGAAGGTTCCTGACTGCCGGCTAGCGGACGAGCTGGGGGGATTGTGGGAAAACTCCCGCTTCACAGACTGCTCCCTGTGTGTGGCAGGACAGGAGTTTCAGGCTCACAAAGCCATCCTCGCAGGTGCAGACACCAGGCACACTCATTATACTGTATTTGGTCCTACAGTGTGTGGGTGTAATATTTGAACTTTAATTGTTACCGTTGCTTGACAGATTACTCGCACATTGACATAATTGTTCTTATATAACTGCTTCCAGCACGTTCCCCTGTATTCAGCGCCATGTTTGAGCACGAGATGGAGGAAAGCAAAAAGGTGAGCCAACGGTCCCTTCCGCTTTTTTTACTCCTAGAAATGAATTTGTTTTATTCCTCAGCGGCTCACTCAGATGTTCCCCGCTGTGTGGAGGAGTTACAGTGAGTGAAGGATTGTGGGCTGTCAAACAGCTGCAGCACGGAGCTGTTTGCAGAAGCTGAACGATAGTGCTTCTGAAATGAAATTGTCCTGCCGTACTCGGGGGTCAGGATTCATCCTTCACTGACAGAGCTGCAGAAGCAGAGAATTGCTTTTTCTTTTTCATCTGTGCACATGTGACTGTACGAAATGAAATTGCAGGAGAAGCAGCCCAGATGTTTTTTTTTTTTTACCAAGGCCAATTTCTGTTACAAAGTTTTAAAAGAATGAAATATTTCACTTTTGTACATTTGAAACATAGAGTAGATTTTATCTGCAGATAGAAAACATGACAATAGAGCGCCACAGTGACGCATCCTAAAACCCGGATGTAAACTCCTTCCGGTTCCTTCGACAAAAAAGCAATGCCATTTCTCCATAGGGTTTTGGAAAATAGCTGGAAATAAGGTCAGTGGTTGAAACACATTTAAGAGACGGATCCCGTTTTGTTCAGCCGGATAATATCCACATGTCTATCCTACTTTTATAATTTTCGAATCTAGTCGCCAGAAGCAAAATGCTAACGTTATGCTATAAACGAACTACAGCAGGGTCGCTGCTTCAACCTCACGCCAACTTGAGATCCATATTCAAAACTACAGATTCAAAATTGTGCAAGTTGAAGCGTTTGTTTTGTTTGCAGGATGCAGGGACTTGCTATCCAGCAGAACACGGGGAAAAACAAACTTAGCGGGAGTGTTCGGTGTAATGACGTAAAACGGCCTCGACAACTTCTGTAGTCCTATTCAGCCACTTGTTAACAACCATCGTTTTTCAGACACGTCAACTCTTCAGAAATCCCCAGCGGGGTCACTGCTGATGTATTTAATGTCGTAGAACAAAATGCGATCCGTCTCTTAAATGTGTCTCAACCACAGACCTTATTTCCAGCTCTTTTCCAAAATCCTATGGAGAAATGGCATTGCTTTTTGTCGAAAGGAACCGGAAGTGGTAAAATGCTAACTTACTTCCGGGTTTTAGGACGCGTCACTGTGGCACTCTATATAATAGTTTTAAATGATGTTTTTAAACGTACAGCAAGCTTTTTTTGTGTGGTCACATTGCTTGATTTGCTACAAGGTTACAATAAGTGCACATATTGATTTATTGGCTAGTCATGACAAATATGAAATCTGTTGGAGTTTTCAATCAGAAGCGTTCACAAGCAGATTAAAATGTGGTTTATTGTTGCATATTTGTTAAGTATTTCTCCAAAGTGTCTTTAAACACTGTGTAGAGATTCACAGCCAAATAGTTATCTAAATGCTCTTTATTTTTGTGGCATAATGCAAAAAACCTGCTGCGATCATTTTGTTCATGCTATAGTTTAAGCTCATGTCACAGGATTCTAACCTTGGTGTCTCTCCCTCTCAGAACCGTGTGGAGATCAACGATGTGGAGCCGGAGGTTTTCAAAGAGATGATGTGCTTCATTTACACAGACAAAGCTCCCAACCTGGACAAGATGGCTGACGACTTGCTGGCCGCGGCTGACAAGGTATTAGAACAATAGTGCAATGTTCATTTTGAAATGAATATAACTCTGAATACTAACAATCTACTGATCTTCTAGTATCAATGTCTGCATACAGCACCAGATTAGGGGTGGGAGATAAATCTGATCGACTCAATGCATATGCGCTGGTTCTATATTTAATATAATATGCAAATATCAAAATATATATTGTATACTGCTGGATAACCCCAAAACATGGAGGTATTATTTATAAACCAAAGCGCCCAGACCAACAACATCTGTTACTGCAGATAGAATTGCGGTCTTATCTGTATTTAATATGACGAGAGCAAACACTGAGCTTTCAGATGTCATAAGGTGATGAGATGAATTAAGTGCACACTAATTACTAACCCTATTATCCCAGTAAGTCATGATTCCACTCCTTTATGACACGGACCTCATTTAGTTAAGTATCACTAAATCTGTCACAGCAGATACCTCCTGAGTCCTGTTGAAGACATGCAGAGTGCCTCTCATGTTGTCCCTCATCTCTCTCTCTCTCTCTCTCTCTCTCTCCTCTCTCTCTCTCCTTCCCTCTCTCTCCTCCTCTCTCTCTCTCGCGCTCTCTCTCATGCTCTCTCAATCATCCTCCTCGCCTCTCTCTCGTGCGCTCCTCCTCCCTTCTCTTGTCTCTCTCTCTCCTCACCTTGTCTCTCTCTCTCTTAGATGCTCTGGTAGACTGAAGGTCATGTGTGAGGACGCGCTGTGCACCAGTCTTGTCTGTGGAGAACGCAGCGGAGATCCTCATCCTGGCGGACCTGCACAGCGCCGACCAGCTGAAAACTCAGGCCGTCGACTTCATCAACTAGTGAGTTCACTCGTCGTCACTTCTTACAGATCCTCAGAAGTCCTCTGAACAGTTTGTCTCTGTTCCTTGTCCTCTTTGTCTCGCCATTGTTACTGATGACACCAGACTCACACAGCGTCACCCTCTCGCCTCCTCCCATGGTGTCACTGTTAATAATTGAATTTCACATGTCCCCCATGGAGGGGTCTGTCTGACATTATTAAAAGCTTCCAGAAGGATCAGGACAACCTGACATCTCACTACCTGCCTAGATGAATGAGGTGATAAATCTGAACATGTGTCTGTGCTCAGCTCACACATATTGCTCCAGATTGTTTCCTTTCATTTATAGAGCTGAAACAATTATTTGATTTGTACATCGACCAAAAAAGAACTGGCACAAATCATCATAAAGATGTATTCATAATTCATAAAACTAGACAATGTTTGGCATTTTTCTAGAAAAATGCCAAACATTGTCTAGTTTTAGTTTTCTATGATCTGTTTTTGCCGTATTATGCTTTTTGGGGTTCAGCTTTCCTGTAGTGTGTTGTATAGGTTTTTGTGCATGTAAATGGTCTGCAATGGCTAAAATCCCAAAGTTCCCAGCAGACGGAGTTTCTCTCCAACACACTGAAACCTCCGTAACATTGTGACATCATAATGTAAAAATTGCGCTTCTATTGGCTAGCGCTCCAACACTTTTTACGTGATAGGCTAAAGGGTGGGACATCCCTAATCAGAGCAGACTGGGCTCTGGTTTCAGACAGAGGGTGAAAAGAGGTGCTGCAGCACAGGCAGTAAATGTTAACTGAATATTAAAGGGGACCTATTGTGCAAAATCCACTTTTTCATGTCTTTTATACATACATATCTGTCCCCTCTGTAAAGAGATTCTGGAAGTTTCAGGAAAAAAGATTCGCTCACTTTTTGTCCTGAAAATGAGCTGATCAGATTTTGGCCACTTTATGATGTCATAACAATGTTTTGGCTTGTGTAACCATTAGCCAATCACCAACCAAGGTAACCATTATCACCTGAATCTCCTCCTAGAGCACCATTGTGTTCCTTGTAACCAAATATCTCTCAGAGGGGCGTGGGGAGGGGCTCCTTATTTTCATCTAAAGCAGTGGTTCTCAAACTTTTTCTGTCAGGCCCCCCCTTTGGAGAAAAAAAAAAGTCGGGGCCCCCCAACACAAATAGTCAGGCTCAGTGGCGGCGCCCGAGATTTATTTTGGGGGTGCTGTGGGGTAGCTTGACGTTCCATAGAGGGTGCTCAAACATTTAGGGTTTCCCATTAATGTACTGGTCGCTACAGTGGAATTCTCTACTGCAACACTCCCCACGCATATACACAGTGTGACTGTTACAATGAAGGCTCGATAATCAGCTCACGGCATATAGGTGTAAGCAGGGGTAAAGTGCTATTTTTATATGTGGTGTGTGGACCTCACATAGGGGGGTCCGGGGGCAAGCTCGTCCGGGAAGATTTTTAAATATTGTTAAGTTAAAAGCATCAATCTGGTGCACTTTGAGAGCAAAATGAAGAGATCTATGGATACATCTCAACACCCATTTGAAACAGAACTGTAAACCGATTTACTATTTCTTTATGGATATTTTACAAATCACCTTTTTAAACTTTATTCTTGTTTTACTGTCATATTATTTCATACCTGTTTTTAATTTATTCTCTTATTTTTTTATAACTATAATGATCATATAAACGTGTGCCTCGGAAATAATTGTTTACATTAATGGTGACCAAAACGTTTGAGACCCTGTGAGATAACACTGAGAGAGTCCTTTAGTTCACTGAGTCTCTCAGTCTGACAGGAAAGGACTCTCCTCCACTTTGTTGTTGAAAAAACTCCTTAGAGGCTTCTCAATACTCAAATTTCCCCTCCTCGACTCCCCTCCTCGGTTCCCCTTCTCGAGACTTAGACCCGCCCACAGGAGATGCGAGCGGAGGACCGAGGAGAGAGGAGGGGAAGCAGCAGACGTTTAAAGAAATGAGAACTCCTCTCCTCTGAGCGGTCATTTTAAAGAGACGTCCGTTCATTATTACGTGGCAACAGCTGCATCAGCTGTCGAGTGTTTTGTCATAGCGCTGTATCTCTGTTAGATCAGCTGAACATTGTTCCCCCACATATTTACTTTGAATTCATTGAGAGTGCGGTATAATGAGACAATAACAGGCTACAGATGCGGACACACACACACAAATATATTTATATAAATAATATATACAATTTAAAGTATGAGAGCACTCTCATAATAACGTAACACAATCAGAGACTGGATATATCCCCCCCTCTCTCTGGTCGCTGAAATGGGGAATTGAAATTACGGGCCAAAAGTTGTATTTACAAGTAGGCCTATTAAAAGTAAGCAGAGGACACCAAACCAACTGAGACCCGTCTGTCCGCCGCATTTACGCACTGTACAACACACACTTACACACTGTACCACACACACACCTACACACTGTACCACACACACACCTACACACTGTACCACACACACACCTACACACTGTACCACACACACCTACAGCTCCTAAAGCATAAGCCGTTGTGTATTTTATTATGTGAAGCAATGGTCTTAGAAAAATATCGACTCTTTGTTTGTAGATATCTACTAAACTAAAGCAAATAAAGAGAGTAGGCCTGTTATACTGAGTGATATCTATTATACACACTGCTCTGCTTTCTACATGGACCTCACAGCTGTTCTCTCTGGAAACATTGTGACGCGATGAAAGCAGTTTCTAAAATAATATCCAGGGGATGCATGCATAGCTGTCATTGGCTGAGATAAGTCCGGCCGTGCGTCACGCCTCCACCGTTCCCGGAAATGCATCCGTGGAGGAGCCGTGGAGGAACCATCAGTGTATCCTCGGTTAGAGCTCCTCCAGAGAGCCTCCTCGACGCTCGATCCTCGGTCCTCGGTGTGCATTTAGAGAAATGAGATGTCCTTCAAAATGGCGCGATGAAATTCATTTCCGGGTCACTACCGGAGGACCGAGGAGTCGAGGAGGGGACATTTGAGTATTGAGAAGCCTCTCTTATATCCGTTAGCGTAGCTCGCTAGCACCAGAAGCTAACAACAACGTTTGCACACACAAAATGGCTCGTTCCACACACACACAGAGCCGAGCTTTAATGAAACACAGAGACCCAGACGTAATAGTACTGTATCATATTATTTTCAAATCAATAATTTTTTTTTTTTTAATAACCATTTTTCCTCCTGGTCTCTCGTGCCCCCCCTGTCATGCCTCTGCCCCCCACTTTGAGAACCACTGATCTAAAGTAACAGACAGAGAATCAGCACTTTTGAAACAGGGCTAAAACAGAGGGGATTATGGGTAATGCTGCAATGATCTGTTTGGTGTTTCGAGCCAAACACTTCAGAGACATGTTTTATATATATCTGAGACCTATACTATATTGATGAAAAACAGTATACTAGGGGACCTTTAAAGCATGTAATTATGTCACAGTAGAGACAGAAAATACAAACACAAACCTGAACAATTGCATAATATTTCCTTTTTAAATAAAAAACTTCTATAATATTAGATTCAGAGACGTTTCACACCCCTGTAAAACCGATGGATCGTCCCTAATATAATGTTTTTTGTTTCGTCCTCCAGCCACGCTGCGGAGGTGATGGAGACGGCGGGGTGGAAGTCCATGGTGGCGTCTCACCCTCACCTGGTGGCCGAGGCGTACCGCTCCCTGGCCTCGGCGCAGTGCCCCTTCCTCGGACCCCCCCGCAAGCGCCTCAAACAATCCTAACAGCAAGACGCTGACACCCATGCATACGCACACACGCTCATGCAAATACACACAAAGACACACAGACTCCCCCCCTCACGCAGGGACAACCTTTCCCCTCGCTGTTAACTAGTTCACTACCTACAGCCTCCCCCGGACCCCCCCCCCCCCCCTTCTGCCCCATCCAAACCTGCTGTATTTAGTCTCTTCTAAAGACGGAGGGAAGAAGGAGGAAGAGGAAGTGGAGGTGAAAGAGAGGGGCTGGTGAAGTGGATGTTTGTTGTTTACAAGAATAAAAACAATACCCCTCCCCCTTTCTCCTCGGCTCGGGCCCAGTGAGGTCTGACATTGTGCTCCTATCTTTGTGTGAAAACCAAACCCCTCGACACCCCGTTAGTTCCTACTTTGGAATCCGTTCGGGAGGAAGGACTGGACACCAAAACCCCAAAAGAGCCGACTGTCAGGGGATGAGGAGGATGAAAGGATCATAAGGCTACTTTTTGCTCTGTTTGGAGTCCGAAATGCCCCCAAACTCACGAACACATGGGCCTGCGAGGGACAGAAGAAATGGGCCTGTTAGTTACAAACTAGAAACCCCCCCCCCCCCCCGAGAAAGACAACAAGGGCTAGTCTAAAAAGCAGATATGGGACAAACTTAACGTTAATTCTCCTTGAGAAAGTTGGAGAAACATTGCACTAAAGTCACAGGTCACCCCTTAAGAACCCTTACCAGCAGTAAAGTAGTAATACTGTAGGCAAGCACATACTGAAGAGAGCTTCATGAACTAAAGACCCAACAGGACCACCAAGAACAAGAACCCTTTAAGAAGACAGAAACAACACATGTACTCCAAAAACTCTGCTTCATTCGCATCCGTTTCATTTTTTTTTTAAAGCTGGGAAGAAACAGTATAGAGAGGGTACAGAAAAGCAACTGGACGTCATTCTTGGGGAGATTGTATTTTGTGTGTGGATCTGTTTGTATAGCCTTGAGAGGAAAACATCTCAAGGTTTCGACGGACAAACCAACCAGGAGGCAACAAATTGTGCCTCAACTAGAATTGAGATTGAATCAGGCATGTTGATGCTATTTTGTTTCTTATTTGTTTTTTCCCCCAGAACTGTCATTTCTATTTTTTTCATAGGAATTTGTACAGAGACCAGTGATTTTGAAGCTGTGTAAACAAAAAGCATTTTCCACCGTGAAATTGAAAAAAAAGCGGACTTGTTTTCTTTGCAGGCATAAAGACTGAGGGGAAATTGAAATGAACACGTTTTAATGTTCAGAAGAGACAGAATGTGAAGAGATGCACACCGAGGCAAACCACATCAAATACATTTGAAGTTATAATTTCAAACTGGCGGAAAATGGTAATGATCGAAGGAACTGTCGTTTCTTTCCTGTAGATATCGCTGGTTATGAGAAGTGACACTTAGTTGTTGCCAATTTTTTGTTCCCAAAAGATTAAACCACAGCTATTTTGTATTGAATGCAATGCAAACTTTGTCTGGTATTTTTGTCTGAATTGTTTATTTATTATTTTCAGTCCGTCTCATTAAACAGGCGTTTCATTTAGAGATGAATATGGGACTCCACAGATCACCTCCTAAGGAAAGGTATCAGGTATAAAGACCGGTGTTTAAAGACATTTCATTTGATGACTCAAGTTTTTTAATCTTCTTTAAATTATGATTAAATCCTGGCATTTTAGTGTGTATTTTTTTGTTATCCCTTTTTTGTTATCCCTAATTAACTTTTTGGAGATGTTAATATTTAATGTAACCTTTTTTTCAATTTGCACTTTCCAAAACATGAACAACTTCCTAATTTCTTTCTATGATAAAAACACTGGAGTGAAATTTGGACGAAAGGCAACCAAAGTGCTGCAATGTAAGTCATTACATTTACCCAAACACTTAAGTAAAAATCTGAGGAACTTTACTTAAATACTTAAGTATTTCCATTGCATTGCACTTCTACCCCCAACATTTTCAGGTATATTTCTTTACTCCACTTTAATGATGTGAAACCTTAAAGGATTAACATTTCCGGTAAGTATATGTTGGTCTTAAAAATTCTGACGGATACATACATAAATATAGTAAAGTATATCATACTATGATAAAACTGCATGTGTAGTATGAGAGTTTATTAACTAATGTTTAAGCTTTGCTGTTGCAGGCCCGATTTACTTCAGTCTTCGTCACCATGGAGGAATGAGAGAAATACGTTTTCTTCACAAATTCAAGGTAGCAAATGGTGAGTTGTTGATGTTGTTGACAAATGTTTATTTTGAAGTATTTCTTTAATAGGGTTGATTGCTTCACATACATGTCCTTAGTGTGTACATGAGGTCTAACATTTGGCAAAAGTGTAAATTGATATGCAAAATAAGAACGCTGCAAATGCATGGGACATCCTGACTATACAGTGAGTATATATATAGTCTTATTTCTTAAGTATTACAAACTAACTTAACTATATCACACCTTACAAACCAAAACTTGCTATTGTCTAGTATCGGCAGATATTAGTATGGGTAGAGCAAAAGTAATTACTTTATTCAATTAATATTTTTATATAAAGAGAATACAATACTAAATATGATTGATCTCCTCTCAGGATTATCTGCATTGCCTGTTTAAGGTTTTCATGAGCATTATTCACAACTTTCATAAAAACTAAAGGATACATTGAAAAGTATAATTTAAAAAACAAACAATCGCCACATCAATCAATAATGAAAATATGTTTGTTCCACCCCTAATACTGTGCATTCATAAAAACAGTCTAAGACAACTCTTGTAGTCTAGAACAAGCAGATATTGGACTAAAACATATACTTTAAAGGCTGATCAATGGTAAAACAAGCATTCACTAGAATTGAAACTGGACATCCAAAGAAACATCCAAAGTATTCTCTTTGCCCTCTGGTTAACCTGTGGGCAGGTAGGCTCCTGGGTTGTGGGAGCTGTAGTCCGGACACACTTTCTGCACCAGTCTGTAGTCGGTGCTGTAGAAAGAGACGTAGATGCAGATGACCTGGAAGGGCTTGGAGCACATCCAGGTGACGTGGCTCTGCGTCTGCTCTTGAGCGCAGGTCTTGGACGGGTCGTAGTTACACAGCATCACCTTTTTGTTGCGCTCCGTCTTCTCGTAGTCCACCCTGCAGTTGAAGGTCTTGGACTCTTTGGGGTTGACCACACTCTGGCGCTCCAGATCAAACTCTACCTCCTTCATTGGGGGCACGAGGCTGACGGACACGTTGCCCACCCCTGTGGAGTTGTGGCGGAAGTAGACTCCCAGAGAGCCGTTCCCGTGATCCACAATCTTTCCCATTATCAGCAGATTCAGTTTGACCGTTTTAATGTTTGAGTAGAAGTCCCCCCAGCTGAACGTCCTGGAGAACTTGGATGCTCCATGGACTTTCATGATGGGACGGAGCTTTATCTTTAAGGATGGGTTGGAGTGTGACTGGGAGTTTCCTCCGAGTATTTCCAGAAGTCCCTGCTTAGCATGGGGGCCGGTGAGGGGGAGTTTGGTGTTCAAATGTCCAGTTTGGAGCGCCGAGTCTTTCTGTGAAGAAGGGTCTTCAGAGGATGCTCTCTTGCTGAAGGAGACTTTATCCTGATGTTGCCCAAGAACAAACTAGACAGGAAATCAGGAGAGAAATGTGAATGTTAAGTACAAGGGGACATACATGTTTAGAGATTCAGTTTATATTCTTTAAGAATATCTATTCTACGTTACACTACTGTCCAAAAACATAAAAGTGATGTGTCCAAAATAGAAATGTATTGATTTAACACCATACTTAAGCATCACAAGTAAATAGACTACTGTATATCTAACTACACACATACTATTGTTAGATCACACTCCAAAAATGCATTATATTTAATTATTTTGACATGTAACTGCAAAATAATTCATAATTGTACAGGGTTATATCATGGTATGATAAAAGATCATGGCTGAAAATAGGCTAATTTAGTTAAAAAATACTTAAAATGCAAAAGATTGGTACACTTTTTTAACAAATACACTTTGCTACTCTCCACCTGCTTGCTCGTTCTTTCCCTAACATAACACCGGTGTGAATGATGTCCTTGACTTACCAAACCAAAGGTTCCTTCCAGAAGTATCCAAACAAAGTACCGTGGGGCGAACATCTCCATACTGCATGAATCCCTGTCTTAAGATCCATCCATTCACCTGGACTTCCTTCAGGCTGAGTACAGTTATAAGTCCATGTTGAAATGCTCCTTCATTTGAAAGTCTGGGAGAGTTGTTCCTGCAGAAACCCTCCTGTGTGCTGCAGCTCCCTCGCAGACACACTGGGAGGCTTTTTCAGATCTCAAGGTTTTTAACACTCAGTTTTGCTGTGTCTCCCCCCGCTCTCTCTCTCACCCTCCCTCACGCACACTCACGTTCCCCTTTCTTCTGGATGTCCAGCCTGTTGTCCCCCTCCCCTTCTCTCTCCATCACTGGAAAACATCTTGCATTATCTTCTGGGTGATGAAATATAAAAATGTACACTTTTTAAAATGAGGATTTTTGATGAATTTGACTGTCACTGCCCCACTGTGGCCTGAGAGCAAAGTGCAGACTGAAAAATAATAATACAAATTGACTAGCACATACATGTCAAACTCAAGGCCCGCGGGCCCAATCCGGCCCGTGGTGGATTTACTTTCGGCCCGCAGGATAATGTTTGATTACTATTAGATCTGGCCCGCCGGTATATTGCGCGCACACCTTCACTCAATCCTGAGGGTTTCCTCAGCTCAGAGCCTGACCCCAAACATTGATGAACTTGCACCCAAGATGAGATGCTAGTATCTGGCTTGAACTATCATCACAGAGCAGCAAACTGAGTTTACATGGATGTTTCCTTCTGCACTTTTTTTTTTGCGACAACAGGGCATGTTTGGTTTTTTCTTTGAGGGAAATTGTTTTTTTTAAGCTGTTGTTGGCCTGTGGAAAAATGTAAAAGGAAATGACTCTGGAAAAGCTGCAGATAGAGCCATAAGAAAATAATTGATTATTTAATGTTTAATGGGCAGTAATTTAAGCTTTGTTAGTTCCAGGTTTAATATGTGCAATAAGTTCATTTCAATAAGTTTTGCAATAAACAATGAACCAGTCCGGCCCTCGACTAGTACCCATTTTTTTTATTTTGGCCCACTGTGTATTTGAGTTTGACACCCCTGGACTAGCAACTATAATTCTAAACAAAAACAAAAATAAAACAGAAACATATTTATGGAATACTAAACAATGACATTTTTTATTAAATGTTATAAGAATATATTGTTGTAAAGCTTGTCATACATTTGTCGCAAAAAAGTTAGTACAGTCTGAAAAAAAGTCTTAAATGTGTCATATTTTTTCTTTAACAAGTAATAGCAATTTGTAATATGCCATACAATTTTACAGAAATGTAATAGAAGCATGATGAAAGTCTCCAATAAAATAAGTTATAGTATGATATGAAAGTATAAAATATAATTTTTAAAAAACTATAAAAAGGTCCAAAATGTTATATAAAATAATCATAGCCATTCAAAAAGGTTGTAAAAAGGTTCAGAGTTTAGTATGTAAAACAAATCAAAGCATAGTATACCATAATATTGAATAGAAATGTTGTAGACGCCAAATAGGTTTCATTTTAAACATGAAACTCATAGCATGCACTAAAATATCTTAAGAATGGAATAAAAAACATCACATTGTAGTTTTTTATAAAGAGGGATTCAATAAAGTATGACAAATGTCATAAAACAAAGGCAGATTAAGGGCGGAGGCTGCACGCATTATCAAGCCTTTCTTGCATTGTTTTTTCTAAGTGGCTTACAGTAAATGAATTCCAGCTTGTGGCTCTGAACCAACTCAGAGACGTGACTGACGGCCACCTGGCACAGGTCTCTGCAGCCGACGCTTTCCTGTAACTCCACCGAATTTGATTTCATAAAGTCACCTAATGTAAACATATTTTTTATCAAAATAACAACCTGAATCATTTAAACTCCTAATTTGCCCCATAAAGGTGGAGATAAGCATGTGATATGATTCCAGTAGAGGTAGTTTAATTCATTCACCTGCTGCAGATTTGCTATTTTTGGGTCATTTGGATTAATTTGCACCTGGAGAATGTCCCGCCTCCTGCCAGCCTGCTTTTGCTTGTTACGAAGGTCATGTTGCATGGTTTTGTTAATTGCATTACGTTTCTAAGGACAGAGTTACGATAAGGAAGCGGAATAAAAGGGCATCTATTTAAGATCGGAACAGATTTTGGAAAGATATCAGCACTTTCCTGTTAGCTGTGCATCAGAGCAACAAGTGTGTTCAAGTTAAAATAAAACAATGATTACCACAAGCTTTAATAAAAACTGCATTAACCTATAATACAAGAGACCAGAAAACTGACAAAAAGATACACAGACGCTTTAAAAAGGATCTGTTTTTTCTTCATCAATACGATCATTTTCATCCATCAACTTAAATCAGACAGTTATCAAATAAATATGATCAAATTATAAACTTAGCAGCACTTCGGTATTGTTGGTTTGTGTTTCTTTGTTTCGGGAGCCTTTTAGATATCCAGGTGCTTTCAAGAGCATAGTGGATTTTAAACCTTTTCTGTCAACTTAATAACTAGTTCTTAAGGGGCTTCATGTTAATTAATAATGTGGAATTTGAAGGATGCAATTGCTCAGATAAAACACAGCAAATAAGTTGAGGCTGCATTACAGATCAGTGTGGGAGTTTAAAGGCGTGAGACGTGTGTGTTCAGTTTTGAAGGACTGCATGTACAACATATTTGAGAGTAGTTCCTTGTTTGGGCGGCACCCTTCTTTAAATGTTCATCCCTGATGTGTACGGTAAATCACGCACACATCAAGTTGACACATCATCAGACACATCTAGCTTATTAAAAACGGCATCAATCATCATATTGTCCTGCAGGTGATAGTCTCAGTTTATGTGCTGTGTTTTATCTGAGCAATTGCATCCTTCAAATTCCACATTATTAATTAACATGAAGCCCCTTAAGAACTAGTTATTAGGTTGACAGAAAAGGTTTAAAATCCACTATGCTCTTGAAAGCACCTGGATATCTAAAAGGCTCCCGAAACCAAGAAACACGTCTGACTTACCACGAACGCACCTCTTTTCCCTCGATTTCGAGTCAGTCTGAGCTCTACCTATTTGTATGCTTTTATTGTCTGTCCATAGCCTTTATGTGCCTTTTATCTATTCTTGTAATATTATATTTTATTATATTATGATCTTGAGTCGTGGCTGTGCCTGTTGCTGTGGTCCTGGATCATAGGTCCTGGATGGATATCCTCGTGGATTCATCTTCTTATTACAGACACGTGCATTTCCTAACATTCGGGCTATATGCTGTAAAATGTATTATCTCTTGGATTTACACACGGCATCTATTGCACGTCTGTCCGTCCTGGGAGAGGGATCCCTCCTCTGTTGCTCTCCCTGAGGTTTCTCCCATTTTTCCCTTTAAACTGTGGGTTTTCTCTGGAAGTTTTTCCTTGTACGATGTGAGGGGCTAAGGACAGAGGGTGTCGTATTGTCATACTGATATTCTGTACAAACTGTGAAGTCCACTGAGACAAATGTAACATTTGTGATATTGGGCTATATAAATAAACATTGATTAATTGATTATAATGTTATGTTCATTTTGAAGCACTTTGGCAAACCCTCTGTTTTTTAAATGTGCTATAGAAATAAAGTGGATTGGATTGGTTTTAAAATGTGTTCTCATTTGGGGCACATGTGTGAAGCAGGCTTACTGTCTCTGAAAAGATCCTGAAAAGAAAGCACTTTAATCAGTTGATGTGAACTCTACATCCTTCCTATGAATTGGGATATAGTACCAAAACAACTGAAGATACCTCGTGAACAGCAATGCTTCTCTTCTCTCCAGTAGTGCTCTTCTCTCTTGTGTCAAACGTACAGCACACAGTGATTTTGGTACAGACTTTGATTAAAGAATTACATTTAAAATGAGACTTTTAACACATTGCTTCATCAAACTAGTTCAGACATTGATTGCCATCAGGTGTGCCTTAAATCACCTGGTGCTGATTAGCAAAGATTTACACTTCCATTTAAAAGTCAATAATAGGAAGAAGCGACTTGATATTTATTTCAAGATATAAATAAATACCTCTAAAATCCACAAGGTAGTGTGTTTATCAGGATGGAGAACAAAAGGTAAACTAAAACAAAGTTAGATAAATAACTTTCTATCTCTGTGTAATGCAACATAGCTCACAATAAGTGCCTCTATCTTTGACTTTTTCTGTCATCTTTCCAGGTAAATGGAAGTCTCTCTTTTTCCACCTCTGTCAAGTTTCGTATCATGACATCGATTTAATATCAATATATTTCCCAGTTAGCCCAGTAACATTTTAACTGCTGTATCAAGGGTTTAGAACGACAAATCCACACTGATTTTCCTTTTAATAGTTTCCCATGCATCTACCTGCACTGCTAGGTCGACTTGTGGACTTTGAGAATCAGAATCAGAATACCTCCCACAGAGGGGAAATGTGCGTTGTTACAGCGGTCACAGTAAATTGTCAACGGGGGGAGTGGGGGATGTCAGGGGCGGCGGGTGCTGTAGATAGTAAATGTAAATATGTAAATATTTGTGTCACTGCATCCTGGTAAAATACAAATATAATGCAATGTCTGTGTCTTTGACATTAGCGCTGCTAGCCACCTGTGCCCTGTACTACGAAGCCAGTTCAACAGACCCTGGATATGTTTGAGTAACAAACAAACTAACAACAACAAACTAACAAACGAGATCTCGCTAAGCGGTCCTACGACGCTGGTTATCAACTCGGTAAATCAAGCCAGGGTTTCTCTCTCCAGCTGAGAGCGCGTTCACGTCTAAGACACGAGTGGATCTGACTTTAATTACATTTGACTCGAGTGTTTCGTCAACATAATGTGTTGCTAAAAATAATGCTTCTGCATACAGTATGTGACACTGTAAGTGTTGCACGGCCAGATACGGCAGATAAGGAAATATATGATATTATATGATCGATGATCTGATTGATGATGTAATATGAATGATAAGTGCGACACGTCGGCGTCTTCTCTGCATAGGCCTACGGCAGTTTTAAACTGTATTTCCTTTATCCTGTAATATGACTTGAGAGATGTAAACTCCACACACTGAGTTGATCTCTTTTCTAT